CTATACCAGGCCACACACACACACACTCTGATCATTCTCTCCCGTCACCAGCATCGGCGACCATTAGCCACCTCTCGACCTATACCAGACCACGCACACACACTCTGATCATTCTCTCCCGTCACCGACATCAGCGACCATTAGCCACCTCTCGACTTATACCAGGCCACGCACGCACACCATTTTCATTCACTTTCGTCACCAACATCGGTGACCCTCGTCCACCTATTGGCCCTTATCGGCCACACACACACATGCTACTCATTCTCTCCCACTGCCCCTCTTCGCCCACTACCTACCTGCGACATACTCTAAGTGTCCTTACTCACACCGTCTTTTCCCCACCGCCACGAACTCTACTCACGCTGCCTATATTTTCTCTCTCTTCCCCCCCCCCGGTCCTGCTTTCTCCCAAAGCTCCAGCAACCCCACTCCACTCCCTCAAGCACCTCACTCACCCCGCGGATCCTTCCCTTCCCCGGCGTTCACTCACTTTATCTCCCTATCTCTCTCTCTCGGACCATATCCTCACCGCCACAACATCTTTCTCTCTCCTCCCGCATTGCTCACACAACTCATTCCCTCTCACACAGCTCACTAATCTCACACATTTTCCTCTCTCCTCCCGCGTTGCTCACACAAACCGCTCCCTCTCACACAGTTCACACACATCTTCCTCTCTCCTCCCGTGTTGCTCGCACAACTCGCTCCCTCTCACACAGTTCACACACATCTTCCTCTCTCCTGGCCTCTACTCACTCCACACCCCTATCTCTCTCTCGGCGTCTGCTCGCGCTGCCCACCTCACTCACTCATCCGACCTCCACTCACTCCACACTCCGTACTTCACTCTCGGAGTCCACTCACTCTGCCAACCGCTTTCTCTTTCTCGACCTCCACTCACTCCGCCAATCACTTTCTCTTTCTCGACCTCCACTCACTCCGTCAATCGTTTTCTCTCTCTCGGCTTCCACTCACTCCCCGCCCCTACATCTCCCTCAGACCTCGCCTATACCATCTCCTTCTCCCTCTCTCCTCCCGCAGTTCTCACGTGGCCAACTTCCTTCTACGCGCCTTATTGCACACACTCACCCTACACGGCCTCCTCTGTACACCGCTACTTCCGTAAGCAATCACAACGCACACCACACCTCCAAAATTTCCATACACATTTCAAATCTCAAATTAACACACGTATTTGAAATATGTTACCGCACCTTCCATTTTCATCTTCATTCTTTCGGCCGATCGCGCTATCACCTTCCGCGGTCTCCTCTTCTCTTCGCTCCGCTTCCTTTCTCTCTCCTTCTGGAACCTTCCTTCCTCTCCTCTTTCTCTTTCCCGCTCCCCTTCTTCCTCTGTTCTTTCTCCTTTTGTTTTTTTGTTCCTTCTTTTTCTTTTTTTTTCCTTCCTTCCCCACGCATCCTATTTATATCACCCCAGTTTTCTCAAAACGGCATCGTTTTCCCCCTTGCAGAATGACGTCGTTTTCTCCCATCTGCAAAATGACGTCGTTTTTTCCTCTTTAAAACGGCGTCGTTTCCCTCTCCTCTCTCTCTTTTTTTTCCCCAGTCATTACAACATACAATTGCAAAAATATAAAGTTAACTATTATTCTTTATTATATTACGTATTGTAGTAGTACTTCATTAAAATTTTAAGCGTGTTTATCTACCATACTATTTAACTTATATAGAATCAAACAACATAAATTAAGAAACATATTCAGAAACATGTAGTAACAGTAAGAAGAACAGTTGAATTGGATTTAATTTTTATTACTAAAATTATTGGTTTTTTGAAAAATCTTTATCCCATTTTAATTTGAATATTTGAGAAAAATAAGTCACATTTTTTTTTCCAAATAAGACACTTTTTAAGAAACAAAATTTTAATATAATAATATTTCATTTAGACTCAATAAATTTGTTACCATACAAAAATTTATAAAATTTGATTAATCATTAAAATAAAATTATCTTGAGTGGTAAATTTATGAAATTGTGAAAAATTGTGCACCGGACTCGAGCCCGAAGCCATTTATCAAACATCCCATTCCATGTGTGTGCATTATTGGCCATCACATGCATGCTCGGATCTTTCCATCCTCTCAAATAAAAATCAACCAATACTTACACATTAAATTATATAAAGACCCTCTAAATATTTGTGTGTGTATGTATATATATATATATATATATATATATATGTATATAAACACACACACGAAGAGATATAAAAATTTATGTTTAAACGAGAAAAAGAAGATAATATGAGGTAAATTGTCACACGCAATAAATTAAGTTGGTAAATTATGTACTTTTTCTCTAATCAAATTGGTTATGATATATAACATTTTTTATCATGTAAAATTTACATAGAATTATTTCACTTTATAGATTGCTATTTCTTATTATAAAATTGATAGAAAAATATTGAAACCATATTTTTGATAGCACATAATATGTTGGAAAATAGATAAGATATGTAGCAATGTGATTTTAGTAATAAGCCATCTTTATGAGTTTGACTTCAATTCGAGTATAGTATATAAATAATTCATATATATATATACATATACATATTTTAATCTTAAAAAGCGACAAATATAATACAAATTAAGAAAATTTTTATATATTGAGTTTGCCAATCAAGGCTAGGAAGATATCTCAAGTGAGAAAATTAATTCATCTTTATGTGTTTTGTACACATATATATACATATATCCATTCCTTAAAAGAAAAGGATGTAAATTAATAAACAATTGGCTCAATTAATGTGATTAGATCATCTTCTTTTATTTAAATAAGTTATTTAACGAATGTATATATATATATGTATGCATATATATGTTTGTGTGGTTTAAGAGGATGATGGTGCGGTCTATATGATCATTATAAACAAGAGAATTATAAAAGAGAAATATAATGAGGATGGTCCCTATTTAATGAATCGATGGAGCCCCCAGCATCCGCATGCATGTAGTGATGCGTTGACCTTCTTTTTATTTTATATATATATATATATATATTATCATTTATAAAATAATTATAGTTCATTATTTCGAAATTTTAAAATTTTTTAAAAAAGTCATATTATCTATGAATTTTCGAACAAAAGAAAATTAAAATAAAAAAGGGAATCCAAGCAGAGAAATTAACACGGCCAAAGCGAATGAGGCTAAGATATGAGGCAATATGCATTGCCATTTCAGGAATCCAAATTATAAAGTGAGAGCAAAAAGAAGCCAAGAGAATTTAGCCTCTTCAACTATCTTATCCACAATCCAACTGAGAGCAAGAACCTAAATGAGAAATGAAAGAGCATTCTAGCTATTGACACCCAAAAATGCCCTTCTGACGTTTTCTTTTTTGTAAATAAAAATAATCTATCAATATTAATATATAATCATGTATAATACACACTTAATTTTCACTGAAGTATTGTTGATTGAGTAATTACAATGTTTAACAAGCTTAATTACTTAATTCAATTTTTTTTACTAATTTTTTCTTCAAAAACATTTTAAAGCAAACATGTAACTACTAATTATCATTATATTTTACACAAGCATCTTCAAATGTATGTGTTTAAAGTATTTATTTTGACAATTATTAATGTTCTTCAAAAATTCTCAAAAAAATTTCAAAATAAAAAAAAAAAGTTAGCGCAACATAGAAAATGAAATAGAAAAAGGAGTATTATCGTGTCAATTACCAACATTTTAAGGAATTTATGACAATGATAAAATATAAGATAGAATATAAAGTTATTATTAAAAGAGAAGTGGAGATTATCGTGTCAAGGTTTCAAGAGATATCAATTTTAGAATTAAAAGAGGTGGGGATGAAAAAAGTAATATGAGAAGGTCCGTCTGCCACTTCCGTCATGATTACTAACCAATGATTGATCACGCGCGGGTGCAGCGAAGAAAACGTGGCCGCACGATGCTCAATGAGTTCCTCCAAAGCTCTTTATGATGGCAAATTTTTCTAGTCACAATCTTTGACCACTTCTCTCACATTTCTATTTCTGTACTATAAATATATATAGGCCAGTGATTTTTATTTTTTGGAGGGAACCTGTAAAAAATCATTATGCTTTTCAAAGGTTGGATTACTAATTATCATCTCTCCCTCTCTCTCTCTCTCTCTCTCTATATATATATATATATATTTACTACTCTGAAAATCATTGTTTGATATTGTTATTCAGGAGCCATTGCTAATATGATAAAAGGAGGAAATTCGGTGGTACTGCTGGCTCAACGTGGCAATCAAAATAGCACGCTTACAGTACAAGTAGTACAATATGGTCTAGAAGGGTAGTGCAATATACATCAATAACATACACCATGAGTAATGTCTCCCTATCTTCACGGAGGGTAAAAATTCTGAAGTTACGGCTTCCCTCTGATGGCTTTACAGCGCGGGCAAAAAAGACATTATGAAACTTCAAAGCTAGTAAAGTCACTAAAATTTTAAAACCTAAAGTGATAGAATGTTTAATTCCTGTTGAATAATCAATGTAATTTTTATGTTGGTTAACTTAATAATTTACCTGCTCTGCACCTATTCTGCCCCATTATACATATAATCAATAAATTTTTAATTTTATTCATTTAAATTAATTAAATTTTGATCAATAAATATTTAGTATTGTATATTTATAATTTTAATTACTTGAATACTATTTTAAATTATATTTTATTTTGATAAATATTTAATATTTTTTTATTAAAATTATTTAAATATTTTATAATTTTTTTAAAAAATTACAAAAAATAAATAAATAGGACGTGACAGATGACAAATAAAAAAATTTCAATTTACTTTGGATATAAGGTAAGTATGGATTTATGAGACCGAGTATGACAGAAATTTACTAATAGGATAGCTATAGAGACTAACGTGTTTGTTCCATACCTATCCGGTGCCCATCCCAACAAATAATTAAAGTTTAAAAACATCAATAATAATGATAAAATAAGAAATGGGTAATGATCCAAGGAAAAGTTTTCAGCATATTATTAAGAATAGGTGCAACAAAATGATCACTGAAACTAAATTAGTTAGTCAAAATTTCTTTTTCTTTTCTAGCAGATAAAGCACCAACAGGTTAATTTAATATTAAATAAAGGGGAAGCCACAAGTGTACCAGAATCACATGGAGCACGATTGCAGCATTTTGGGAAGGCAGCCTAGGCCTACCAAAGCTCCTTAAAGTTGCAAGAAACCGAGAAGTCAAAAAGAAGCAGTGTGTGGCTTCAGGCAGGCCAACATTAGTGAGTTTCAGATTTTCTGACCCCTCCATTGAGGGGTGTGCCTACTAAAGTTTCTTTGAACTGCAAATAACAGAAACTTCCTTGAAGAAAAGTGAGATTACTTTTTTTATCATGCACAAAATTTAGAGTTATATGTACACATAATTTACATATATTTTAGGCAACAGTGAGGACAAAAAAATGACTCATCAAACTTTTCCTTTCGGCTGCGTTGAATCAATTGGATGAGTAACCATGCGTGAAGGCAACATCAATATTAAATTAAGTGAAAAATTTTGTGCTTAATAATAAATGGTTAAAGGTTTCCATTATGTGGACTTATAATGCTAGTACAACAACCAAAAAGACAATTAAAACTAAGAAATAGTTTTCTAACTTACTAGTGGGAGATGTCAGTCTCTGGCCGGGAACATTGCCCTTTAGTTGTCCTGTTTTATCAACAAAAAGTGGAAGACTACAAAAGATTAGATATCTTAATACAGCAAAACCGAAGGCAAAGTGGAAGATTACAAGACCAACTCAACATTACGGTAAAGACGTTAATTGCCCAAAAAATAAGCTTTTATCTCGTTTTGGATAGATCACCTACCACCATCAAGAACGTGACAACAAAAAAGGAAAAACTAAAAACCCAGTATTATATGAGATTCTCCCTTTCCAACCTGCAGGATTTTCCTTTTCTCACTTTCTCCTTTATATAAACTATACATTAACATATACTTTTTAAAGCAAGAAGAACCTTAAAGATATATACATAAAGCCTTACTGGGTAAAAAGTGTTGAACTTGAATAAAAAAAGCATCAACACCTCTGATCAAAATACTCTTAAAATCAATTGTTAATTCAACTGCATCAACTCGTAATCCTTTCTCAGAAGAGTGGTGGTATATATACATACACATACATAAACATACATATATATATAAAGAGCTCTAGAAAATCTATATAGAAACTGAGATAATAATTGTGTGGATAACATTAATTAGTTTAATTAAGATAAAGTGAGAGCAACCACATAACGCATGAGTTTTCCATAAATTTTTTTATACATCTAGTATTACTCTTTTCCATATTTATTCTGGGAGGAAAACAACACTAACTAGCACGCAAAGTTTCTCTTCTATACAATCTGCTTCAGCAAATATAATAGTCCTTTCAAAACCATATTTTCCGTCCAAACAGAGCATGCTTCCATGCTTTTACATTGAGTCACACGACAATGAGCAGAAGGTTTCCTACATCAGACTGGAGAAGAGGAAAAGAGAGAGCAGAGAGAGAGAGAGAGAGAGAATAAGAAGAAGAAGGAACAGAAATACACATGATCCAATTAAACTATTCAGTTAAAATTGTAACTCAAGTGGACAGCATGTTTCATAAAGCCAGACGTGCTTTCTACTTTCTAGTGCCCAGACCTTCACCTTTTCCATATACAAAAGAAATGCCATACACAAGTAATATGCTCCGTGAACAGCTAATCCTATCATAATGTACCATAATATGTAATATAACCATTAACTATACACAGCTCATCAATGATAGCATGAGGAAAATATCCCACTCACACTGTGACTGCTTTCCATGCAGCCTATATACTTAATGCCACAAATGATAAGTTGATTAAAAAACATGCCACCTGTCCAATCAGAAGCTCTCCAGGTTGCTACCAATGGCATTAAGGAATCTTCAGAAAGTGTCCGATTGATAATCTAATATTTGGAGAGACAGATATGACAGTATCCACATTCTCCAGAACTATTCCTATTTAACCAGCCAGGCTCAGAAGTTTGTGAGAATAGAAACTGAACAACTGAGTCTTCGGTGTACAACGATAATTTATGTTTACATCGCTATAGAAGGGAAAGAAAAGGTTTACCCCTATGTTTTGGTGTTAGAGAGCCTTATACTCATTTACTAAGAGTAATTCTATTATCTACATTAAATTAAATTTACTATAACTTCACACAAAAAATTTGGTACCTTGAGTCCTGAAAAACAAGAACAGCACAAAATGGTCCATTGGGGGACCATAAGAACACTTAAGAATAATGTAAAGAAGCTAAAGATGCGATCATCACGGGCTCATTGGATTATCCAATACTGACGGCTTCTTATGCACTTCTCCATATGTGTGTGTGTGTGTGTGTTTTGTTAATATATATGAAGGAGGAGAAGATTCAAAGTTGATAGAACATGTACAATCTAGTTACATAAATATCCACAAGCACAACAATGGAGAAGGTAGCCTAACAGGATTTGAAAAAGTATTGTTATCTTATAAAATGGGCAGAGGAAAAGATATGCATTACGCAATCGGTACTGAAATTCCAGTACATTCATATCTCCAAATGATAAGACAAGATTCTTCATAAAAGCAACATAAAATTCCCAAAATAATATAAAATCTAAGAAAAAATTTCACACGTGAAGACATTAACACCATCCAGTTTTTGATCTCATTACAATTTGCCAAATTAAAAAAGAAATCTCACTACAGTTTTATACCATTTACATTGTGCGAGTTTCACTTCAATACTTCTACCAATAGATAAGAGCATTGCAAACCTCAACAAGTATTTCTATCAACTTTAGACTTCAGCACCTAGAATATGGGTTGAATTATATCATCTCGGAAAAGTGGTCTTATATGTTAAAAATTTACAACTTTGTTATCTGATTCCATTTTCAGAAATTAAAAAAAAAGCTTAAAGCTCACAACTCTTATAGTATGTGGAATTTTCACTTCAATACTATTAACAATAAATAAGAGCACGCAGACCTCAAGAAAGATTTGGTATCAACTTTACACTTAAAGCACCTAGATGGTTCAAATCATGTCCAAGAAAATTAGGTGTATACATTAATATGGTATCAATACCATTGACTGGAAGATTACATTTTGCCTATTTCATCCATAACTAGTAATTTCATGACACAATAAAAAAAGATGATCCAGGTTAAACTTCCTTGTGATAATGAGATACAGTGCGCTTCTCAACTTTATATCTCATGTTTCTGGCAATTAAGGGGCTTGTAACTTACAAGGGAAGCAGGACAGAAAAAGAAGTCATACGATAAAAAATGAATTGGTCCTTATAACCACTTAAAGGTTAACATCCTACATATTGACCAGGCTTGTTAAATCCCATTGTTATCAACTTTTGTTTTTCCAATTGACCAAAAAAAAAAATCTCCCTACACTGGTTTTCACCATAAATTCCTTAACAGTACATGCTTGATAATCCAACCCAAGGGAAAACATACATACATATCTTGTAATCAACTTATTCTGAAGAACTATCATCTTCTTGATATGAACAGAACATACAAGCATACCTTGTAGGTCTACTTAATAGCATGTTGCCCCTTAGCTTGGTCAAATCTATGCTGTTCAAAAAGTCAAAGTATGAGGACTGTTAGTAAATTATTGCAGCTTTGCTCTATGTTTAATGGAGGTTTAAAAATAAGCATATCATACAACCTTTGGGAAGCAGGCAATCTAAATGTTGATCAGGATCACTGTTTCAAGCCTTTTAGCACTCAGCATGAGCCATATGTATCAGTAATGAAAAATGAGCCCTCATTAGCTAAGTTGCAAGGCTGCCGTGAAAGGTCCAATAGAGGACGATTAAGTAGTAACTTCTCTCCCTCTTCTTGGAGATGGGATGTGTTTAACTTCTTAATTTTATAGGAAGAAATTACCAAGGCTAGAAAAGAAAGCCACGAATTCCTGAAATAAATGATCACATTATATGACACGGGAAGCATACTAAACACCACAAATGATAGTCACAGCAAAAAATCATCCCTGCAGAAAAAGAAAAAGTAGCTTCAATTTGAGAGCACCAAGAACATTTGAAGAACTTAATATTCTTCAGGAGTGAGAATGAAATCATAACCCTTGATAGATACAAATATTGGCAAAAAGTTATCATGAATTATCAGAATTATTTAGTTAAAGCAGGATTTTAAGTGAAAGCAATGAGGAAAATAAGGAAATCAAACTAAAAAAAACGGTGTATGATCAAAATTTCTCATGTGATGATGAAGAAAATTGTGAACAATAAATCATTCACAAGATTCATTATATGAACGTGTGTCTATATAGACAGCTCAACAATCAACAAGAAACTGACAAATGTGGAAAGAGGCCTGAGATTTTTCTAGAAAAGGAAACATTCCTTAGCCATCAGTTTTGAATTAATTCATTTGCGAGAGATTTTGCATTGTAAAGTGGCTAACCTTCACATCTTCCAAGCCAATCAATGAGGATTTAACATTTTTGAGCTCCCTCCATTTGCTTATCTCCATGGAAAGTGCCACCCTGTCATAGGGATCCATGTCTCTTTTCAAGATTAACAACTTCAATTATGATCCAATTCCAAGTACATTAATTGTGTATTTGAAAGATATGTTAATGATGTGCAACACCTTTCCTCAAGTAGCTTGAGCCAAATGTCCTCATTTGCATGGATAATGGAATTCATTCCAAATTTCCCACTTCAGCAATTTGGTATGAGAATAAGGTTGCGGAATCAAAAGAGGACCAGAAGCAGAGTTCTAAAAAATAAAAACGTGCAATCACAAAGTCTTTTACTAGCAGAAACACATAAAGACAAGATATGGACTCTGGCAAGCAACTTTAGTCAACAATCTAACTTCATCATATTTTAGACCAAATTCTGACCAGTACCAGATTGAAAACTATTTAGTACAAATAGTATGGACCATTTTTATATTTCATAAAAGCAATTCATCTATTCACAGGATCAATATACAATGGATGTTGAAGGAAGAAATAATTAAGTTTTTGTATTCCCGAGGGGAATAAAAGTTAGGTCAGTACAGGGGGATTATCAGGAATAAAAGTTAGGTCAATATACAATGGATGTTAACAGGAAAGGAATTCCATTTGCAAACAGGTGAGATGCACTAGCAGCATAGGTTGTGAGAGTACTCTAAAGATACTGGATCCCCCAAAAAAATCTCCAAAAGGTATGATAACATTCTGATTGCTTATTGTGGTTCCCAATAGTTCAACTCCCCCAGGAATATCTGATTTCTGTTTCAGCTTTATGGGAAAGATAAATTCTCAAAGTAAGAAAGCACGGACCCGTTACTTTCAATCACAAAGAGCAAACAGAGGAAAAACACTGTAAACAAAAAATAAGGTTACTATGGGAAACACTTCAAAAGCTCTCCTCCAATATACCAATTTAAACTTAATTGTTGTCCTTACCGTAGTCACAATTTCCACAAAGCATTTATTATATATAACTTAATTCCACATGTAAAATGAATAATATGAACTAAACAAGAAGTCTTTACTAAGAACGTACTTCATTCTCATACTAGCAGGCAAAAAAGGACTCTGCTAGCATACAACTACATACTCTGTTTAATGTTTGGCCAGTTTTTCCATTCATCAGAATAACTGCTTGCCAATATTTCTAACGTTTTCTTTTAGCAACAGATTAAAACAATGGCCAAACTCTTGAAACTCAGGTAGAATTATTAGAGAAAAAAAAGTATGATGCACAAGAGACTATGCGTATTCAGGTTATCCTACTTATTAAAATTCAATCATTTTAGTTGTTTTAATGGCACTTTTGATGCATATTGCAATATGGTCCCACCTTATTTCCTTCTAATAAAGAACAATTTTCTTGGGGCAAGTTGCCCGAGATTTCTAAGTTATGATCACCAAATAAACTACTGCTACAATCAAGATTCCTTGAGGAGAAGCTTAAAGAGTTGTCTGATGAAAGTTCGCTAACATTCACTTCCAAATTTGAAACTCACGGGGCAAAAAACAATATAGAACGCAAACTCTTTAGTATACGAAAAAGTTCTTTAAATTTTGTTTTCTAAATTTATATATATTTCATTCATTTTTCTCATAACTACGAAAAATGAAAATGATAATGAAATTAGAAAATTTTAAGATATTGATTGTATTTTAAAAAAAATATATATATTTTACGTAGAGTTTTGACTACTCCACGCATATACAATATTTGTATTTTTCAATGAATTAAACAAATGTATAAACACATAATTTAGAAAATCAAAACTAAACACCTGTAAAAAAATAGAGCCATTGGCGGAGAAAGACAGTTTCACGTTTTCTCATTCTCTCAGTGTGGTTAAAAGATCTAGATACTGAAACTGATATGATTTTGTATAGCCGAAATGTTAATAAAATAAAAATATTATATCTAACAAATAATTCAAGGTTAGTCTCCCAACAAGGATCAAACGAGGAAACGAGTAAAGCAAATTTAAGCTATCAATTCAAATAAATCCTCCATGTGAATATGATAACACAATCAAATGTATCCACACTGCGAGAGAGAAAAATACCAGAAAGTGAAAGAGCAGACCACTTGTGTTGAAAACGGATCTGGTAATCAATCCCTTTCTCAGCGGATTTGAACGGAGTCATCATTTCAGTTCACGTCACCGAATGTGCTGTCTTCTACTACGTCGTGAACAAACAGAAGCAAACTTCCTTCTATCCAGCGATGAGCTTTGTGGTAACGAAATTGGAATTTAGCAAAGTAGCGACAATGGTGATCAATCTGCGAGCGAACTGGAGCAAAACAGAGTCATAATAAACTTCTAATTTTGCTATTCCTGGTCCAGACAGAGATTGAAGACGATGAGAGGATCAGTTCTACATTGCTGGAGTGATCAGTGATTAGGTTCCGGGAATCAACAATCTTGTGGCCGGTTTGGACTCCTGTTTCGCTAATTTTGACGCGAACCTAACTGTCACTAGAACAGAATGATCACGTAACCAGATTGCACTGATGCAAATTCAGAATTGACGACATGGTAGGCCCAAAATTATGAGCCAACTGCTTTTTCAATGATTTCGTAATGGAGGTATGAAATCGGTCAGACGGAGATTTATTTGGGCCCTTCGAGTAATAGATTTAATTAAATAGCTAACCGAGGCGGGTTTAGCATGATATGACCCGACCCATTAGTAGCTCGATAAAATAATAATAATAATATAATTATTTAGAAAGCAAAAGAAAAAAGTTCGTTACTTGAGAAGGAGAAAGCCAGCGTACATTGACAAGAGTTGGTTACTTGGAGCTTTAAGAGAAAAGCAGAGAAGAGGAAGAACAAGAAGAAGAAGAAGAAGAGCGAGAATGGGGTCGAGAGATCTGGAGCGATTGATTCCAATGCCAAAGCTCGGACCAGACAACCCTGGCAGCCCAGCAGATTCATCAGCTTCGGTTTCACCTGTAGCTTCCTCTTCTATCCATGCTCCAGGCAAAGAGGTTCTTATTTCTTTTATCCTTTCTCTCTGTCTTTGAAATCTTTCGACGAGAATTCCCTAATTTAGTATGGGAACGCATCATTGATGTCGAACGAAGAGAAGGTAGAGAACATATACAGAGATCACTGGTGATCGATCATCAGTGAACGCGATAAATCTGGCCTGTCATTTCTATTGCTTTGCTCTAGAAAAGAAACCAATTGGATCTCCGAGTTGCGGATCAGACTATCGTTTATTCCTTCTCATCAGTTCACGTGATACTTTGCCAGTCATTTGTTACACTAGAAAAGACAGCAATTCGATTTATGAGTCGTGAATTAGTCTGCATCTTTTCTGTTTTTAGGTCACAAGGACTCTTAATAAGATTGTGCACATTGTTGGCATTTTAAACCAACATCACATGAATTTGTACGTATCCCGTTGTGATTTCTTAAAACAGTATTATTACAGGATTTCTAGAGGAACAAGATATCGGAAGAAGTTTGGTTATTTAGAACAACATAGATTTATTTACTGATTAGGTTAGAGACTCTTAGACATATAGATGACTCTTGTCTCCATGAAGTTAGATTTTACTTATATATATTACCTTGCTATGATAATTTATTCATCGTTATATTTTATTTTTGGAATGTATTTTTGAGAGTGACTAAATAATGTTGAATCAAAACAAATCAATTCCATGCTTTTATTGGGTTTTTATGCTCCAAATTAATGTATTTAAATCTAAGGCAGGATCTTAAATTACTTGGCTTGGGAGCATGGTGAAGTTGGCTCATGATTATATTGGAAGCTGTAACATGTAGTATTAATTTGTTTATATATTCTTGCAATCATCCAAAAATATGACTCTGTTTAGTGATGAGCCTGCCTTTTGATATAATAACTGTGTATAACTATGTTTATAAAGTTTTGTTGAAATCCTTACGAGCTTCTATTGTTTATTTGGTGCAGGCATTTTGCAAAGTCATTCGGAGCTGGGCCTCAAAAAAGTTCATGACTGGATGGTTAGTTCTTACCTTCCCAAAATGGTTCTCCTTTTTATTTGTTTAAGCTCAAATATGCTGCATACCTATTAACTTGCTCCTTTTTCATCCTCTGGAATATGGATTATGGAGTATTATTTTTAGATATTGCCATGATGGCACACCGTTATACAACAGGGGGTTGGATCACTATTTAATTCACTCAGCTCTTTGCATCTTGTATTGATGCTTTTTTGTAATTTGCAGTTTATATATTTGAACATGATTTATGCCTCAATCCTTTACATCTTTTAGACATGATATTGAGACTGTAAGAGCATGTAAGACTAAACAACTCAGGTTTGATCTGATAATTATGCCTCAAAGTGGCTTGGGTTCAGACTGCAGGCTAGTAATCCTACATTTACCATAGTTAAGAAAATGAACGCACACAATAATGTGCTGATAATTTTAGTGAATGGCAACATCTAATTGTTTTGCAGTGTCATTTTACTCCCAATGGCCATCACATTCTATTTCACCTGGTGGTTCATTCATTTTGTGGATGGATTCTTCTCGCCAATCTATACTCATCTTGGGATCAATATGTTTGGTTCGTATATCAATTTTTCCTTATTCTGTTATGACATTAAATACATATTTATAGAAATGGTAACAGATCCAAACGGGGGCAACATAAGGTGGGAGTTGAAATGGTGAAGCCTACTATCAGTGGGTAGCATACTCAGCCTGTTGGTATCTGCATTCATATGAGGTGTGATAAGAATAAGTTATCCCAAACGAGGAGGTTTGATGAACAAAAATCAAAGATACTTCTTCTTGATGATATTATATGATCCCAAATTTAAGACTTGTGTTTCACACACCGAAGAATTCATCTTATTTTCAATTTTTTGTTCTTGATGCCTATGATTCATTGGAAGTGATAAGGAAACATAAGACATTTTCTTGGAGTTAAGGATAACTAAGGATGTAGAAGTCATGACAAAGAAACTTTTCCTGTTGTACAGCTTGGTGCAATACTGGATAGGCTTACAAAATGAGAAAAGGTCTATTATTTCAAAAGATTCCTAAAAACCCACCTTCAGTACTATTTTACAGTCAGGTACTTACGCAATAAGTTTCTCCATCATATTTTATTTGTCAATTTAATTCGCAGGTCTTGGATTTTTGACCTCCATCACTTTCATCTTTCTGGTTGGTGTATTCATGTCCTCATGGTTGGGAGCTTCTGTTCTTAGTTTGGGAGAATGGTTCATCAAGAAGATGCCTCTGGTCAGTTATATTTACTCTGCTTCAAAGCAAATTAGTGCTGCAATATCTCCAGGTAAATATTATATGCATATAGATTTAACGATAAATTTTTGGCATAAGACAACCGTAGTTCCTTTTTTCCAGATCAGAACTCCCGTGCCTTCAAAGAAGTGGCCATAATAAGACATCCACGTATGGGGGAATATGCATTTGGCTTCATAACGTCGACGGTTATTCTCCATGGTCGTGCGGGTGGAGAGGAACTTTGCTGTGTTTATCTGCCTACCAACCATCTTTATCTAGGAGATGTTTTTCTCATTAGCTCCAAGGATATTATAAGGCCTAATCTCTCCGTTCGAGAAGGCATTGGTAAGATCCTCTTAACTGATATGCGGCTAAAGTATATTCCTATTCTAAAAATTTAATATAACTAAAACAGAAATGAGATAAAAATTGAAAAAAATAATATTTTAATTTCATGTTTGTTTAAAATTAAGTAGATATTAAGAATATAATACAGATAATAGATTAAATTACATTTTGAGTTTATGCTTTTGGATAATTAGTATTAGTCAATTATTTAATCCAATTTCCAAGTTAAAACTATTTAAACTTCGCCTCCCCGTCCTTATCTCCTTTTGACTTGTATGTTCTTAATTGTTTTCAGACTTTTGTTCTTTTGTACTAGGCTTGAAAATCTTCTGATACAGGTGAAAGGGTGTGTAAAGATTATAGCATTAGTAGTACATTAAACTGCTTTCTATTAGTGATTGATTGCAATCAATTATTTAAGAGTAGATTTGGGGTCTTGTTATTATGATTATAAGATTCATAAGCGTTGTGTTAGTTCAACTATCAATCAAAATAGTGTGGAAAGGAAATAAAAATTAAACAAAAGGGCCATTTAGGATACTTTACTATTATGTTTATATTACAGGTAGATTGTGTTAAATCTACATAAATAACCACATCTAAGAAGGTTTATATACATACATACACAGGCATAAAAAGAATTGATCATGTTCCTTTTGATTTGTTGTGCAACAGAAATTGTTATTTCTGGTGGCATGTCAATACCTGAAGTATTGACTACCCTAGATGCACAAGCCATTCATGCAGCAACACTGGGAAAATTTTCTGTACCACCAGTCTGAGATGATTTTCTGCATCATTCAGCTTCTGAGCTCTGACCAGCCTGTGGGTTGATAGGCTTGATGAGTTCGGGATCAAGTCCGTTAAAAAGATGTGGCTTCAATTAGAGGAGCCAACGGAGAAGAGTTGCAGAAGATAAACAGCAAAAGAAATAGCTTGAGCTTTCAATGACTAAATATGTGAATGGATCTGGACATATGCACATATACATTTATTTATTACTAGGTTCTTTTTCTTCAAAAAAAAAAAAAATATAACTGTAAGAGCTTTAGTTGTGAGTAGTTGCCCCCGTAGACATCAGTTTTTCCCAGTGTTTATATTGAGCTAGACATGAATTAAGCTGGAAAAAAGCTTAAGCTGTGATGATGAGCAATGAGCACTTTAATTGTAAATTACATATTAGTTGGTTGTCTGTTCAAACAGCTGGTAGTTTCAGTACTAATCTTCCAGTGAGTGATTTTTATACCGCGTTCTACAGGCAACATCAAATGATGAAAGGAGAAGGGTAGGGCAATGGCTTCTTACAATACACATGCCGAACAGAAACTAACTATGAACATATAAATGTGTAAAAGAAGATTTGAAATCAAGATCACAAGCTTTGATATTATTATGATACAATAAATTATAACCCATCTTTGCAAAAACTCAGAACTCTTGGAAACAGTTCACTATTATCTATATTGTATCTTAGTGTGATGATTAATGATTAACCTATTGTTATATAGTTAATTTTGAACTCTTCTGATTATAGATAACATTTCAAACACAATTTTGAAGTACAAAGCAGTACACACAGTACTTTACTGGTACAATGGTAGTACAATTTTACCACAGTGAGTACTCATCAATACATTTATGTATCAGTTAATACTCCTACCAACTATGAATGTTTATGTGAAAAAATTTAACACGTTCCCTCACTTAGATTAAGCTGTAAATCTATTTCTTTAATATTATGTAAAATAGTTTTTCTGCATCTAATTATATAAAAAAGAAAAAGTGATAAAGAAAAGAGCTAAAAATTATCTCAAGTTAAATTAGTCAAAAAATTTAATTTATTATTGATATTAATAAAAAAAAATAGAATTGCTGGTATTCAATATTAATTCATATTTATTCTGAAAAAAAAAAAACGAGGGAGAATAGATAAATTTTCTTGGGAAAATTATTATCGACTTGCATTGCTTACATTGTTTCCAGCGGTTAGGGTGTGCGCGTTTCATCCAAGACGCAAAGGGAATGAATATATAAATTTTTATAACCTTTCAAACGAATATGGTCCGTTGTCGTCCAGCGGTTAGGATATCTGGCTTTCACCCAGGAGACCCGGGTTCGATTCCCGGCAACGGAATGATTTCTTTTTGTTTTTTTTTTGTGTTTTCTCCCATGTGTTAATGTTATTCGAATTTATAACCTATTGATCACGGTTATAATTCATGGAAGTACACAAAATCAAGCATCATGGTGTGAAATTAATTGCAGATGTATATATATATATATATATATATATAACAATCTTTTCAAATTTCAGATGTATTAATTGCAGATGTATATATACACTAAAGGTGGGAATGGTTAGTAACAATCTTTTCAAATTTTTCAGATCGTGTTTATTTACAGGTGATATCCTAGAATAATTTTCTCGTATAAAATTTAAATTAAAAAAAAAAAACTCTAAATATTATTGAAATTAATAGATACATGTATATATATTTTTAAAAAAGATCAAAAGACCTATTGTCATATGGTAAAAAAAAAAAAAAATTGTTTTATTTTACATTATAATTACAAGAAAAGATTCTTTTCATAATTAAGTTTTAAATCTAGTAATGTTAACATTTTCCAAAAGATTAATTGAAAAAGATAACGTAAAAGTGTAGGATTTTCATAAGGCTTTCATTTGGTTTTATCATTAAATAACCCACATATCATTCACGACTTAGAGATGGCAGCCTTGGCAGACTGAAGGGTGGACTCCACAGCTGCTGCAGCTCCTGCCAAGAGACCACCACTTGTGGTCTGGTTTTCTTGGGGATGAAGTTGGTGGATCACCTCCACTGTCCTCTTCTCGACACCCTTTCCAACCGATGATCGGTATTCCGTTGTCATAACCCTCCGCTCCCCTAAACTATTTTGTTCGTCGATAGTTTCTGTCACCTATAAATATAATACACAAACTTTTAATTTTTCGAAATCTGAAAAACAAAACAAAACAAAAGAAAATAAAAAGGATGGAGACAAAGAGACAAGAGTACTTGTGTTTACCTTCCTCATTTGTGAATTCATGTTGGATTTTGCTTTGTTTCAGTGTAAAATGTCAAGCTGATAAAAATTTTTGCAAGATTAGATTTTTTTACTGGGGTTTTTAAATAGGAAACTTCTGTTCTCTTCAGTGAAGTCTCTCCGTTGGTTGCTAACTAAATCTTGAATGGTCAGGCTGAAGAGGAGGACCCTTAAATCATGCAAAACACTTGAAACCCCTTGTGAAGTAATTTTTGGCTGTTGGTCATAAACATCTGCTAAAACAGTATAATCCACATGATAAAGCATTATTATTCTACCCACTACATGAGATTTTTCTAATTCGTTAATCTTTTTAAATCCATATATAGAAAAGCATTTTATATAGGTTCTCTCCATAGGAGAACAATATCTCAACTGACTATTCAACAGTACTCCTGAAACAAAAAGGAGATACATATAGTTCTTTTATATTTCTCTAAAAATGACACGACATAAGCATTCTCTATAGACCATTGCTTCTCATGTCTTTTCTTTCCAAGTATATTTCGGACAACAGACAGGCCTACGGGTCATATAGGCAAAGGCAAAATACTCGAGGAAACCAAGTTGAAGCTCGGGAGGTGATGATCAGTACGTCATTAATGGTGACCCACTGCAATGGACATCAGAAGCATCAGAGAGCCTTTGCCTTGGGGACAGTGTTGCAATGGCGGCAACATCAACGTCGAGGTTCAGAATGTTTTTCCTCTTCTGGGCTTCAGAGTTGGTCTTTTCTTCAGAGACCTCGGCAATGGGACTCAAGGATTCTGGTTCTTTCTGGTTAAGAGACACCATGGCTTGTGCTTCTGCCACCACTGATGCATCGTCGTCTGTTGCATACATAATCCTTTTGATTGCAGAAACAATCTGTGGAACAGAAAGCGTACAACAATATTAGCACTTCGTAGTATTAGCAAGGTTTTCAATTTTCATGCAACCATATTCAGACCGAGAATTAGACAGTACCGGTAAGTGTTCAATCTCGGGGCTTTGGCACAAAATCTCAATGTCTCTCAACTTTGCGAAGTAGAAGTCCCTCTCCTTCTCAAGCCTGTCTACTGATAGCTTCAACTCCATTATCTGCAAACAGAAGTAGTTTTATTTCAGTCGTTGGAGTCCGAAGGAACTCGCATAACCCGTAATATATGTATATATATATATATATATATATACACACCCCCACACACATATTGCTGATATAATGTACCTGTTCCTCATAAGCAAGCACGGGGCTAGGTGGTTTAGCAGCCTTAACAGTTTGATTTGCGATATTTGCAAAAGCTACATCATTCTTTCGAGCATTGTGGGAAGATTGAGGTCGGGGAGCAGCCGAGGAACCTTTGGCGGACGATTGCGTCGTTGCACCCTTCTTGCTTGTTTCTTTTCCTCCCTTGGAAGTCTCTCTCCTTTCCAGCGGATTGTAACTGACCATAGACAGTGAATAAGAAAATTCAAGACATGCCTCTGTAAAAATATTAAGAGGGCGGCCTTTGTACTAATCAAAAATCTTGTTCATCATTATGGCACAACTGTATTCAAAATTAGACATTTTTTAAGGCACAACTCTCCTGCAGACTCTAAAGTTAGATAACCGCTTCACTTGAATAGAATCAAATGAAAACAGTTAAACCGGAAACTTAGCAATCCAATTAAACCAGAATGGCGAGAAGACCAAAAGAACAGATAAAAATCCTTTGCAAGTCAAAAAAGCAAGTAAAAGACTACATAATTTGCATTAGAGAAACCATGATAATGAGTATAGACCTTGGGGAGCCCATATTTTCCAGCTGAATAAAATGTTCTCAAAGCTTAACCTTTTAAAACAATTACAATATAGTTGTCTAAAGTGCCACAGAACCATTTAGCTTCCATCAACATTCAAACAGCACCAGCAAAGTGCGTCCATCAGCCCATCAATAACAAGGTCACAACAAGCTCAAAACTAACAGTTTTATTTCAACAAATGAAGAACAACGTTTAGAGAAAAATTAGATTCCTGCTAATATGATCTCAAGGCAACAAATAACAATGATATCTGAATGAAACCAAACTTGGAAGAAAGGGGAAAATACTAAGGGAAGAAGAAAAAAAGGGAAAAATTCCAATGGAAGCAGCCAATCGAAGTCAATACAGAGGTAAATTCGGGCTTAGGTTTACCTGTGCAAAAGGCCTCCGTTAACAGAATCGCAGTATCTCTTCATCCATTGCATAAATTCCAAATTATCAAGCGGTCTTCCTTTGATAAGCTTGTTTACCTCTATGTGCTGTAAGGAACAAAAAAAAAAAAGCACCAGAAGCTTTGAAAAAAACTAGTACGGAAGGAACTAGAAAATAAAAAGCTAAATCTAAGCGAAAAAAAAGTACTGATCTGGTAAAATCTGAGCTTATATTCAACAAAATTTTGAAAAGAAAACACGAATATTATTTAAAAAATAAAGTAAGGAGAGAAGGAATACCTTGGTGATCTTGAGTTTGTTGAAGACATCTTGAAGGACTTTGTAGTTCTGGATCATTTCGTACTCGCTCTTTGCATCGAAGTTGACCTTGTGCATCGGCACCATCCCTGGGTGAACGGCATCCATCAGCTGGCAATGAACCGCACCGGAACACGCCTGCGATTTTCAGATCCAAACAAATCAATTCAAAAGCGAACAGACGATTTAACTGTTCTACGAGCAAAAATCAGTTTTCTAAGTTTATCTATTCCACGAAGGACAGAAGAGGACGTAAAAATCAATAAATAAGAGGCTAAGCCTTGAATCTAGAAATTCAAAAAAAAAAAACAAGAACCTCTTCGACTTTGGAGACAGTAAGTTGAAGAGTTGAATTGATCCAAGCGAGAATTTCAGATCTTCCTACGAAGTAAGCGGAATCCATCATGCCGATGTTCGTCGCCATTCCTGATCTCTCCTTGTGTATTTTCTAATTCGTATTTCTTTCTCTTTCTTCTTTAGGCTTTTCTACAGAGGGAAAAAAAAAAGTGCGTGCTGTCTAACGGCTCTCTGTTTTATATACAGAAAAGGTTAGGTGCGTTTTAAAATGATAGAAGAGCGGGATCTGTTGAATTCAAAAACATAATCAACAAGCCGGGCCCACTCAGGCTTCCGGCCGTACTGGTTCCTGGATCCATTTATGGGCTTTCTGTATAATTCCTTTGGGCCCAGGCCTTTCTATACTACTAGCCCCCCCAAAAAATCTGTTTTTGTTTTTTTAATTATTTTTTTATTTTTTTAACTAAAGTAAAATTTTACTAGTTTGTAGTTATTATCATTTTACGTGAAATATTAATTTTGAACATATTGTATATCAAAATTACAAGAAAAATGAGAAAAATATAGCACGATAATTTAAAAAGCTAAGTTAAAGTAACATATAAACTCTTAATTAGTTAACTTAAACTAAATCTAACAACATCAAAATAAAGTACCAAGTTAGGAAGGAACCAAAAACGGATGCCTGGCTGAACCTAAAATTAGCTCACTCTCACACAAACCAACCCCATTAACAAAAAGCAAAAAGAAAATAAGTGATTTTTGTCATCAGTCAAGAATCATATTCATAAATACATACATACATATATATCTCTCTACGAGCTCTCCAATTGTCAATACTCATTATTCACTAGTGACCATACTGATATGACGAACAACTTGGGAATTTCTCCAGCACTTGCAGAGCTTCTTTCATGGCCGGTCTCTTTTGAGGCAACGGACAAGCACAACTAAAACCTAATTTCAGACAAGCCAGCAAGGCCTCCTCTTTCCCCTCCACCTCTGCCCGGATCGCAACATCAGCCATTCGGATGGCTCGGGCTTTGTCTTCTACCGCAACCCCATTTCCCTGACCCAACTCATCAACGACTACTACCTTACCCGTCAGCAGCTCAAGTAAGATCACCCCAAATGAGTAAACGTCCCATTTCGGGTTCGGCTTTAGACTTCTCAGTGATTCAGGGGCATGGTACGGCGATATGCCGCCCAACGAGCTTGGACTCGGACTTGGACTCGGCCCTATTGGGATATCTTGAAAGCTGTCTCGCGAAGCGGTCGATCTCTTGCTTCCAAATATTCGGGCTGACCCGCCTGCTTTATAACTTGTTTCGCCTGTTAGAAGTCTTTCAAGCCCGAAATCCCCGATTCGGGGCTCCTTTTCGGGGCCTAAAAGGATATTACTGGGCTTCAAATTTCCATGCACGTGTTTCTTCTCGTGAAGATAGGCTAGCCCACGGGCTACTCCTTTGGCAATCTTCAGCCTGGCCTCCCACGGCAGAGGACACGGCGAGGACCCCACTTTTCCTGAAATCCCCAAAGGCCCACAATTAGACAATCCACTAACATGCGCAAGTTAGCAGAGAGAAAGAGGATGTAGATACGATAACAACGGATTCGTCGCTTTCAAAATAATCAATGCCCTTCTAGAAATTATGCACCACGTACACCGCTTATCGTGCGCCGTGGGGCTAACGGTAGGCAGTCTTACCGTTGACTATTTCATGCATTAAACAACAAAGTGTCAGTTACACCTGCTCCACCGTCGAAACTTTCATTGCGCGGCGTAATTTAGCATGCGGATTCTTAGTATTGCTAATTTGCGCATATAAAGAATGTCGGAGAAGATGATTATGAACAGAAAGAGGAGAGAGGGAAGGACTTACTGTAACGAGCATTAGCGAGGCTGCCATTGGGAACAAAATCGTAGATGACGAGCTTCTCGTCGACGCCCCAATAAAACCCACGAATACGAACCAGGTTGGGGTGCACCAGCTTGGCGATGACACGGACCTGGGTCTCGAAATCTCTGAACCTGTCCACACTGCTCTCGCCTATCCTTCGTACGGCGAGCGCTGTGCCATCTTCGAGCACCGCTTTGTACATTATACTCGACCCAGTGGCACCGAGAATGTAAGCCGATGCTTTGAGCAGATTCTCGAGCTCGAGCTCTTTCTCGCCATCGACGGTCACCAGTGTTCCTTTCTTATCGGGATTCTGCTCTTTTTGCCGTTGATTTTCTTGACTCGTTTGACCACTCTGATTTTCTTCTATGTCGGAGTCTGTGGTATCGGATTCTTGTTCTTCGTCTCCTCTCTTCCGTAAACATGACCATCTGGTGAATCCTCTTGATTCCGACGACGAAGATGATGATGACCAGCTTTCCTTCGCTGTGTTAGCTTCTTTCTTCAGTGTACTATCAATGTTCTTCCTCTTCTTTACTTGGTATACGTAGAAAAAAACAGTAGCAAGAATTGCGATTCCTGCAATATCTCCGATCACGATTCCTATAATGGCCGCTGGTCTGAGCCCACTTTGTCCCTGTTCGTGCGGTGAACCAGGCGGTGTATTTTCTGGGGTTGAATCTATAGTGTTCGGGAAAACAGCAATTGCAGGAGGACAAGTGGGAGCCGAGTCATTGGGAGAAGAAGATGAGGGAGAAGGGATTGGACATGGCTTCTTCGTTGGTTCACCACAGAGATCAGGATTTCCAGAAAACAACTCTGTTTTCTGGTTCATGAAGACGGAAGACTCCGGTATTTCTCCTGTTAGATTATTGAAGGAGAGATCGATTGTGGCGTTACCTGGAATTTTCTCCGCGAATTCTGCTTTAATCTCGCCTGAAAGCCGGTTGTAGGAGATGTTGAAGTAACGGATACCGTCGCCTCCGAAGTCAGACGGCAGAGACCCATTGATCAAATTGGAAGACAGATCTAAATCCTGCACAGCTCGAAATCCACCAGGAAGATTACCAGAGAAGTAATTGTTCTTCAACGAAACAACAGTTAGATTGCTAAGAGTTGTTAAACCGGCGGGTAAGTTTCCCGCCAAGGCATTATCAGAAAGGTTAAGCAACTGGAGACTTCGTAACCGATCCACAGTCGCTGGAATATCGCCGGAGATCAAATTGTTCGACAAGTCAAGATACCGAAGCTCCGAGGCGTTGAAAAGCGAAACCGGAAGAGAGCCATTAAGAGAATTGTTGGATAGATCGAGGTGCTGAAGATGCTCGATCATACCCAGATCAGCCGGAAGTGAACCCAGAAGCTGAGCGTTGGGAAGCGATAATCGCGCGACGCGGAAATAGCCATCGCCGGACTCCGGAGCTTCACAGCTGACTCCATTCCACGAACATGGCGTCTCGTCGTGGAAATTCCAGCCGTCTAGCAGGCGCAGAGGGTCACTGATAATGGCAAACTTGAAGGACAGCAAGAGAATACCATCAGTGTTGAGGCCAAAAGACTGAACAGAAAGAAAAAGAAGAACAATTTCCAGCGATCTCCACCAAGAATGGAGACTGAAACCGGCCGAGCTCATGATTTCCGAAACAAATCATCCCACATTTCTCCTTCAAAAGAATGGAGAAACAGAGAGAAGAAAACAGAGAAAGCAACTGGGATTTATCAGGGAAACAATGCGATTGGAAGTTGATTAATTAAAAAAAAAATTAATAAAAAAGAATTTGGGAAGTACGCACAGCTCACCAAATCAATCTCTCATAGCTAACAAAATGTACTGTGCAGGGCTTACAAGGATTTAAAAAAAGGAATAAAGAAATTATTAAATGCTTTCCCAGTTGTCTAAATTCCTCTCTTTTTCTCTTAGCTCTGTGATTATACATTTAAGGGAGGAGGAGAATAGCATCTTTGCTACGAGACACGTATATGATGTTGGAAAGTTGCAGGGTTCTCACTTAGATTGACTTTAGACATCAACGCTTCCATACCATATTGTTCTTTCTTTTGCTTAATATTAAATAAACTTGTGTAAAAATTATAAAAGTAGAAGAAATATACCACCTTATTTGATATAAGTACGTTAACAAGATTTTACCATGCAGTAAAAAGGAAAAGGTGAATAGTAATAAATGAAGGAGGAATTGATTTAAAAGGCATATGAAAAAGATTAGAATAAATTCCATTGGATGCTTTAAGATGCCCAAATCGAAGTCATGATTTTATTACTAGATTTAAAGTGGGTAAAGTTGTATTATTCACCACCACCTTTAATTAAGGTGATTAATATGAGCTGGACCTTACAACATATATTATAGGCAATTTTTGTTTTCAGAGTGGGGACAATGTGATTAGCTACTGGCACAGTAACTCTCTTTTTCATATAGTAAAATATATATATATATATATAAATTAAAATTAAAATTAAAATTCCTTTTAACCCCACTTAAAATTTTTATGTAAAATGAACCAAAAAGAAAATTAGTAAATTACTTAATTATTTTATCAGTAAAAATTTGATTAATTTATAAGATTTTAAGCTTGCAAAATATAAATTAGTGAATGTGCTAATTTCGTAAATAATTAAACTATATATATTTTATAATTAACAAGATATAGAATTTAATGGCAGCATTATTGTTGTCGAGGGGTCCATGAAGGCTCCTCATACTATCATCTCGATACAATAACATAATTATTAAATTCTTGATCGTAAATTCTGGTCTTCATTTAATTCAATCTTCTACTCTTCCCAAATTTTGACTGTCGACCCTTCTGGGTACGCAATGTGAAATATCAAGTCGCATTATTTATCTCTATATATATATATATATATTTATGTATGAAAAATATTAAATGTGTATGTACATATATAGTTGGATTGGTTCAATATTATTTGATGTGTATGTGTATATACATATACAGTTGCTTGCATGATCTTATCCAAGTAGGGAAAGAGAATTTGAACCATGCAAGCGCCTTTTTTTTTTTTTTTTGGGCACTGTTTTCTCTCTTTTCTTGTTTGGTTACCAAGAAAACTAAGTAGAAAGTGTGACATGATTCAAAATTCTATGTACTGGAAATGTAGATGTAGGGCCAAAATTAATTAATGCATAACAGTAACTGGTCTAAAAAAAACCAGCCGCTGCTGCGCCTTTCCGTGCATGGAGTTCTTTCTCCTTTCTTTTCAAAAAAGAAAAAAGAAAATTAAGTTGAAACATTATAAACGTTCGTATAATAACAAGTTATCTAACGCTTCTCCAGTGACTCGAGATCTTCAAAGGTAACGCCACAAGTCAGACCTGCAAGGATTTGTAAACATAAGATAAAAATAGAGAAAAAAAAGCAAGGAAGGCAAAACAAGTATTTGAGAGCAGCGACATAGAAAAACCCTAGAATTTTGAGAGAATGAAAATATCGTTCAAAAAGCATTTAGGATGAATTTGAAATATTTATATTTCTCACAAAATTCAAGTGTACATACATTTTTAATTTCATGAAATTATTTCTTTATTTAACCCTAACATATACATACATACGCGTATACACACACACGCGCCTCACACGTACTTCCTTCTCTTCAATGTGCGGTTTGCATCTTTTCCTCATTGGGTTAAGGCCACGAGGTGTGGAATATAAGACCCTTTTTAAGAGTTCTACCATATTTGAATCAGATACTTTTTTGTGAATGAAATTTGACATTATAGTAAATAAAATAGACATAAAGTTAAATATAAATAAAACCAACGTACTCATATCAAGTCAATAGAATTAAAAACTAAATACAAATGTACTTAAATTAATAGCATAAGAAATTTACACGTTTTAGGATAGATTTTTTAAATTAGTATATAATTTTGTGGAGTTATCTTACTCTCTCTATTTCTAGTGATAGTATGTCAAAATAGAAAAGAAAATCGTACGTGTAATTTGGAGACCATAATCACATATTTATATGTAAACTGATTTTTTTTATTTCAATTTGACTCATCACAAAATCAAAAATTATAAGCACATAAAAATAAAGTTCGTACTTTAATTTGATATATTAAAACTCAATATACCTGTAAGTATATTAGATCACTTTTAACTTGATTCAATTAATTTAACAGTATTTTATGCACAATAATTTACATATATAAAGTTATATATGTTAAATTTAAAATTCAACAAACATAACAAGACTTTTATTTGAATTTTAATAAGACTTTATCAGACATTTTTAAAAAAAAACAATTTATGAGATTTAATTTTTCAGGACGTAAAATTAAATTTATTAAAATATGAAACTTGCAAGATATAATATGTAAGTAGATGGTCCCCAATCATTTAATATTAGCTTCCAGCCAAAATTAAATTCATTATCAACGAGTTAAATCCTCTATAGGGTCTTAACAGGGCATGTTACGTATGTCACTTAAAAGCACCTGAAACCCATTTGATTTAGTTTGCGTAGCAGAACAAACGTTGTCCTGGTTTGACGGTGGACAAGAACAACCTCAGTGTACTATATATCCAGCCACTGCAATTCTTGTTCTTTGCTTTTTCGCAGATCTTTAAAAAAAAATTTGTACAGGCTGTAGATATATACATATGTATGTGTATATGTATATATATATGCGTGGAGATCTACGATTGCCTTTATTGGCACCATTTTATGTTTCACAACTAACCCTTCATGTATTTTCATATGACTAGCTAATTATATATGTATATGTCATATTATATAGTTAATTGGGTATATATACATATATATTTTCGGCTACGTAATAAACTATATTAATTATTTTTTTACTCTCCCGACATTATTTATTAATGTTTATGTATTTATTTATATAACCCACATTATCTTCGGAATGTGATAATTAAATTATAATATTATTAATAATAATGGAAATTATTTTAATAATACAAAAAAATTGTGAGAGTAGACGATTATTACCTCATCCCCCACCATCAGCATCCTCTTCTGTTTTCTTTTCTTGTCATTTTCTTTTTGGCAGCTTTAACCCAATTTCATTATTAAACAAATTAATCTTTTAATGAAAATTAAAATTAATTAATTGATATTTTGTGAGTATTAAAATTAATTAATTGATAATTAAAAGTATGTTAGTGGTAGTACCCTTTTTGGTGGGTGGGGGGGGAGAGAGGGATGATAATAAATCCAAGAGTAAAAAGCTTTGATGGCTGATATGATTTGTTTGGTTGGACTATTTACTTTGCATGTAAAATGTACCAAAATTAGGAAAAGTCTGT